AATTTCAGAATTAAAAACATCTCCACTGTTCTTCAGATCTTATTACATGGAGTGTTACAGGATAACCGCAGAATACTGACATTTTTCTATAGCCCAATCCATTTTTTCAGTTATTAGAAGTTGCTTTTGTACATTAGAGATCTCCTTGTCCTAACTTTTCCATTTTTTCAGGATGATGAAGGATATGACAGAGAGACTCCCAGTGACTGAAAACTCATTTCTTTCATAATGTGCTAAATGGCTTTGAGAGTGTGTCTTAAATTTAGACTGACTCTGATATGTGCTGATGGTTGCATGACAGATTAAGTAGCAGATGTCACAAGAGACTTGTAGTTTAACTCTAAACCATATGACAGCACAGCAGAAGCAAATGGAAACAGACTTCTTTGAACGATACGCATTAACTTTCAGCTACCTCTTGTCACATTCAAATGTTGACGTGCAAATTAAAAAATGACTCGGAAAAACTTAAGAATTCCTCAAGGGCTGGGTGCTTATAAAAGGCGAGCTGTCTGCGCGTTTGGGTGAGCGCTGGAGGATCACTGCTGAGATGTTGCCTTGTGACGTCCCCGTCCACCATGCCCAGCTTCATTGCTTAGAAACACAACCAGTGTCCACAGCGAACCAAGGAGTGGGAGCTGCTGTTTTTTCTGGCAGCTAACTTGGGTGCAAGCCTGCGTGGGGAGCACCTCAGATCCAGGCTTACGCACCTCAGTTTATCTCACAGAGCAGCAGCTGTGAGGGTCATAACTTCAAAGCACGGGCATTGAAGATTTCTACAGTCAGTGGCAATTCCGACCACTGTGAACCTCTCTTCAGGGGCCTTTTGGTCTCCCCATGGTCCAAAACCAAGTCTCAAGTTAACTGGGCCCTAAATTCTCTCTGGGCCTTTCTTAGGGCACTGAAATTACAGCTAACTTGCTTGAAATTGGTTTGTCTTCCCTTCCAGTTTGTGAAAATCAGTAACAGTCTTATTGGTAAGAGGCTGCTGAGAAGCATGTGAATGTACTGGATTTATGTCGATCTTTTGACTGTGGAACATATATTCGTCAGAGGAGCCGTGTGGCTACAGTGATGGCAGCTGGTATTTAAAACCCAGTACCAGTAAATCACAGCGGGTAAAACAAATCTGATGTATTACTGCAGCTCAGGAGCGACATTTGACCACTGCACTATCATTCTGACACTGAAGTTAGTAATGCAGACTTGTGCCTTCAAGCAGTCCTGTTCTCCTAAGCAGATCATAACAATTAATTCCTCTTTGGCAAAGAATCAATAAAAACAAGGGAACTTTCAGAAAATTGTTTTATGCTATACATCTGTACAACCAACGTGTAAATGCTGACACAGGTGTGGTCAGCAAATCCAGCTCTTAGCAATGCTGTACGAGGTCCGTGGAGTAGCTAGCTGGCCTCTCACGTTCACAGTCTCCCCGTCGTTCACACGCAGTAAAAGGTGACTGTGGCCCTGCCTGAGGTACACTGGCACAGTCTGCATCGTTTGTGACACCTTTTAAAAGACCGACAGCCAGACCTAGAGGAGGAAATAGGCACCTTCTTGTTAGGTATCAGGGAAGCTCCTTTGAATGCCCGACCTTAAGAACAGACTTTCAAGACCCACATTCATACCTGTCTGGAGGATCTCCAACAGGTGGGGTGAGCAAAGCCTCTCCTGTTCCTGAGGCTGCTCGGTCGGACAGCAAGATCCCTGTCAGCAGCACAGCCTGACAGCACGGTAACAAAGCCCGCACGGAGTCTCGGCCCCTTCTCTCTTTCCGTTGTATTCTGCGTTACATTAGCACTGAGAAGTTGCCAGGCAAAACAGAGAGGTGCCCAGCGAGCGTAAGTATCTGCTTTGTCTGTGGCCTCTGAAGAGTTGGGGTTTTTTTAGCTGCAGTTCACAATTTGAGGTACCGGAACTCTCCACAGCCCCAGGATCCCAACAAATGTCCTTCATAATACTCTACAGCCTGAACTATAGTCTCAAAATACCACACGTAGGAAATACCTCAGACACCACACAACCATGCTGCAAGGTCATCCGATAGGTCGTACCTTCGAAGCCAAAGTGCTGTGTTGCTGGTTTTAACTGTGAGGTGCCATCGGTATCTATCACATCACTCCATAATACCAGATGCATTCTACGCCTTGCACCTCTGCAATGTGGCTGTTATGAAGCACTTCAAATATCTGCTGGGGGTTTTGCACATAATTTGTGCTCCCTTTGTTCTTTTATAACTAGTGTGCATACATTATTTGAAGAAAACAAATACTACTTGATCCTTCACACAGAAAAGACTGGCACTGAAAATATATCATACTTTTCTATTCATACTGGGTGCTGTTTCTCATTTACGAAGTTTTCACAGTATGGACTGAAGGGAAACTTCTCCTTTAAAAGGCTCAAAATGAGAGTAATCAAGGTTGTATATGTCATGGGCCTAAATACATTTTGACTAACTGAATTAGACTATTTTAGGCATAATTCAAAATTCACATGTATACTTTTAGGGTTTTTAAGAAAGCTTGATCAGCATTTTCAAGTAAAGAATGTTTTGTCTGGCATAGTGAAACTTTATTCTAGCTGTGGAACAAGAACACTGGTAGGAGGTTTTAAAAGATTTGGAGGGCCGTGAAATGGTGTAAGTTTTAATAGGCTACAGTGAAACCAGAACTTGTAGAATTTAAAACATGTATAACATTATAACTGTGAAACCAATCCTGCATGAGCCTTGCTTGATCTTTGCCTCAAGTGAGACATCCTTCAGACAGACGTATTCTGTTTAGCACATCAGCTCAGAGTTTTGACAGCGGTTCACATTCGGTGCTTGCAACACCATCAGCTGAAAGCATTTCCCAGGGAGCACTCTGAATCCCATCTCCCCTCTCCAGAAGTGTTGCTTCTAACACTGATCCTCAACTGACCTGCAGTAACAGAGTATGAGCAGCTGTGAAGACTCCCTTTCCCTGAAAGGTGGGATGGGAAAACCCCAGTCGCCCCCACCACACACTGATCTCCTCCAAAAGGGGAAGCACTGATGAATACCCACACACACATTTACCTCCACTTGGTCATTTGACGGTAATTTGGAAATACCTGCACACCTTTCACTGCAGGCAGACCCTAGCAAATGCCATTTCAGAACAATGTGGACCACCAGCAACTTGCTGGTCCTTCAGGTAGGAGTTAGTGAAACAGGGCAGGACCATGACTTCAACAGGACAATGAGACAGTAAATTCATGCCCATGTGTACACAGTCTCTCTGTCCACCCCTAAAGGTTTTAGGCAGAGTAAGAGTTGGTTCTGGGATTTCAATTGCAGGATAGGAATAAACTTCTTGTGTTACTGAACAGCATATAACGCATGGCATGCTGAATGTCTTCAAGTGCCTTCTGAGGGCAGGTATCTAGGCAGCTTACGCTAATGAGGGTTTGCAACCACCAGAAGAGATGACTTCTTATTTTTTATGTAATTTCTTTTTTTACAAGCGTAGGAAATCACATGCAAAGAATGACATATAGTGCAAGGCTAGGACTGCACAGCTGACCACTTAGAGGGCAGGACATGCACAAGGCGGGATGTAAAACTCGCCTGACCACGCATTAACTTTATGATACAAGCTTCATCACTGCAATCTCAAGTTTTTTAGCTGAAAATGTATCTAAACTTCACCTCCCAGATAATACAACGTAACAAGGGGAACAGTAGATCATCCACCAAAGGGTAAAACGTTAAATAACAACTGTATGGCTTTTTGAAAGACATATAATACAGTTCAAAAAGCTCTGGAGCTCAAGGCAAGAGTAATTAGAAACATACATGGCATGCATGATAAGGAAAGCCAGACTAGGTTATCATAATCATCTCTTTTGACTACAAAATACATGAATCTGCCAGAAATGAAATAGTCCCTGTGAAACCATAATGTTCTCTGAAAGGTTTTGCCTGTAACATACAACACCTTTAGTCTTTCTTCTTAACAAATGCATTCATAAGTGTATGATTAAAAAAAGTTCTGCTCCCATTTTGAGCGATAAAGTCTTGCAAATAAACAAAAAAAGATACTTAACTTCATAGAGTGATTTCCTTAAAGTGGATGAAGCAAGCAAATCATTTTAAGTAAAGCAGTTTTAATAATATTATTATTTCAGGCTACTTGTATTACACAGAATACTGTCCTGTCTTTGATACAGACATATGCTAATGTGTACTTATTGGCACCAGCTTAAATAGGAATAAGTAAGGAATAAGGCTACTGTGGTATGCCATCTCCTTAAGTACGTCTCCGAGATGGCTGTTGTGGCAGTTTTTCCAGTTATAGTTCAGTTGCTTAGAGCATTTGGGCTACAACTCTGCATATTGCCATTACAGAAGAAGTTACAAGAGATCACACTAACAGTCTGACAAAAGCCACTGAAATTCAGAGTTAAGAATGCTTGGAAGGTTCATCCACAACAGAAGAGACAGGAGTTGGTGAATTGTGTTTCCCAGTATGCATTCAAATCAAGGTGATTTAAACACAGAATATTTTATAGGGTTGGTTGGTTGTCTTCTAGTATTGAATACTTTACTAGGGTTACCAGCCTACCTGTGGCCATGCCATTTAAAACTAACTGAATACTGATATAGGTGAAGACAGACGGAGAAAACATACTAAAAATGTTTACGTTACTAGTATGAACCTATTGTGTCATTTAGTGAATTTCAAAAAGAACTCAAAGCAAGTTGCTGTCTTGAGGGAAATTGGGTTATTCTTATCTCACGCACAAAACAAATTAATTGGTCTGACCGCAATGAGAGATAAAAGTGATTCTCTATCAGTGTGTCTTTAATGAGTATCATATCCAGCGCAAATCCGTAAATCAGAGCACAACTTCAGCTTCACGCTCTTCACTTCATTTCACTTACCAGCAGTTCCTATTTCACTTTTAAGGTCAGTACAAGACTGGAAAAGACACAAGAAAAGACCGAGTATTGAAGAATACTTCTTAAATCATTAGTTGTTTGTCATTTTAATGGTGTTAGACTTTAGCAAATTTATGGGGCATAAACTAGTTAGCTTTACAACATCCAAATACTGTTAGTCTGAGAAGACTGCTCATTTGAAGCCTGTGCTCTCCACTCAATTTACAAACTGCCCCTATTTCCTTAAGCTGATGATGTAACTGCCATATTTGCAGTGTCTTGGTCAGGATACAAATACAGTGGGGTCTGCGATGAATTTGCTCGTGGAGGTGGTTGTGTACCAGTCAGTCTTTCAGAATTTCCTGGAGAATTCTCCCTCCACCTTGGACTTGCCTGCTCTTGAGACACTTCCCACACAGATGGGCACGGGGAGGTAAAATTCATGGCGGATCGTGAGAGGTAGTTCTCCTGAAGACCTTCTTCTTGGAGGCACCTGTTTGAAAGCACTTCTTTTTCTTTGGAGTTTCGCCATTTCATCCTTCGATTCTGAAACCAAATTTTCACCTGTTTGCAAGTTAATGAGAGTTTATTATCATTCTTCTCTTGAAACAACTTTGCCCTAACAAGCTTTTTTTTCCTTTCCATCCCCTTAGTTTCATGTTCCTTCCTTATTCATTGCTATAGTAGATCCAGTGAAGCTCACTGATTGACATTATCCGAGGGTTTTCCCATCACTATTTACTACAGTAGGGCCAAATATTCTCCACCTCAAACAAGTGATTACTTGGCTTAGACTGGAAAAAGGACATCCCAGAGGCCAGGGACAGGATTCCTGTCAGAAAAGGATTCTCAGAGTAAACTAGAATTGTCATTAACAAAACTAAGTGATATTACTGGCAATGTGAAGCCTTCTATTTAAAAGAGGCTCTAAGAACTATGACTGTCCCATTCACAAGCATAGCTAAAAACAGCTTGGCCATATAGCTTCAAAATTCGTGTTATGACATATGACACAGCAGTGAGGATCTAAAGACAGTTTGTCTGCCTAAATACAGTTTTCCAGGAGTTGCCTAGAACCCATATGCTTTTGAGATAAAACCTGTTTTCCAAAAACTGTGAGTTGCAAAGCCTGATCATGAGCGTTCAAAGGCATTTATGAAATGCTGGGAAAACCTTGGGGAAATGCACATCTAGGAACTGGTTTTACACAAAGAGAAGAAATGGGGGCAGGTGATCAATCAGATTATTCAGATTGTGTTGTATTTTGCCTTAAGTATTTGTGTTTGGTTCTAGTATTCAGATACTTGATATGAGGACAAAGGGGCTATGCTTTCAAAGGTTTGAGAATCATTGCCTTAGATGGCAGGTACTGTTCCTCCAGCACAACTGCTCAGAAAATTGAAGAAGTAACCTTCACAGCAACTGCTCTTCCTTTCATGAGGAGACAAAAAAAAATCACAGAGACATCATCTGGTCTATCATTATCATGAAATTATTTTCCTGTAGTGGTAGTTGTTATCTATGTGTCATTCCATTATTTTTTACTCCCCTGGTCTCTCTTGAATATCAAGATGAAACACTCAAAAGGAAAATAATAGGAATTTGGCTACATATTGAGAAATTTTTAGGCAACACACTGGTGAGTGCAATTGCACATTTTCACTGAAATAGTTTATCCTGCAGAGAGTACAGCTCTGCTCTCCACACTGAGAAGCACCACATTCTGCTTCTTTTTTTGTTTATAGTTGCAGTGCTTGTGATAGAGTCAGTCATTCAGGTTGCCAGGAACCACTCCAGAACACAAGATCTAACCTTCTGTCCAAAGCAAAGCCAACTGAAAAGTTAGATCAAATTGTGGAGGGCCTTTTCAAGTTCTGAAAATCTCCACGATAAAGATGATGAGAGCTCCCATTGCCATTCCCAGGCTCTTCTGCCCCCCGGACAGCTTCCGCCATACGTATCTTAAGCAATTTCACTCCTGCTGCATGCAAAGAAATAAAACTGTACCGTCGCTCTCCCACTGTCTTTCAGATGTACTCCAGAGATCTGTGTCCCCTCCAGCCCCTCTGCCAGTGGCTACCATGTTCATTTTCTGCTGTTACATGGCCCCACAAAGTTTTTTTTTCCAGTTTCTTTCAGGTTTTGTGCTCTTCAAGCCAGGCACTTTTCCTTTGTTTTTATCTGCAGTTAGGTCAGGCCCCTGAGACTCCAGATTGGGCTACTGCTGCTCAGCACCACTGTTAATGTACTCGTTCAGTTAGAACAGCTCACTGGAGGTATCAGATCCTCAGCTACACTCTAATGCCCTGCAGTAGGCCAACTCCGACTCATGTGAAAAATCTTGTGAAATGTGAATTGGTAAGTTAAGTGGGAGCATTTTAGAAGGTCACCCTGCAAAATTTTTCCTTCTACAGTTTCTCTCAGCCCCAAGGATCTCTTTTCTTGTGCAGCTAAGTTTGTTTCTGTAGGGATCATTGCCTGCCTCTGACAAGTCAAAGTGCAAGATCCTGCACCTGGGTCAGGGCAACCCCCGCTATCAATACAGGCTGGGAGGTGAAGGGATTGAGAGCAGCCCTGCCAAGAAGGACTTGGGGGCACTGGTGGACAAAAAGCTTGACATGAGCCAGCAATGTGCGCTTTCAGCCCAGCAGGCCAACTGTATCCCAGGCTGCATCAAAAGAAGCATGGCCAGCAGGGCGAGGGAGGGGATTCTGCCCCTCTGCTCTGCTCTGGTAAGACACCACCTGGAGTCATGCATCCAGTTCTGGAGCCCCCAGCACAGGAAAGACATGGACCTGCTAGAGAAGGTCCAGAGGAGGGCCACAAAAATGATCCAAGGGATGGAACACCTCTCCTGTGAGGAGAAGTTGAGGGAGCTGGGGCTGTTCAGCCCAGAGAAGAGAAGGCTCCGGGAAGACCTTATTGCGGCCTTCCGGTACTTAAAGGGGGCTTCTAAGAAAGATGGGGACAAACTTACTAGCAGGGTCTGTAACGACAGGACAATGGGTAATGCCTTTAAACTAAAGAAGGGTAGATTTAGACTGGCTATAAGGAAGAAATTTTTTACAATGAGGGTGGTGAAACACTGGAACAGGTTGCCCAGAGGGGTGGCAGATGCCCCATCCCTGGAAACATTCAAGGTCAGGTTGGACGGGGCTCTGAGCAACCTGGTCTAGTGGTAGATGTCCCTGCTCACTGCAGGGAGGTTGGACTAGATGACCTTTACAGGACCCTGCCAACCCAAGCTATTCTATGGTTCTTGGGGCAGAATGGTTTCAGAGCAAGTTGCGTTGATTGCACTGTCACTAGCTGTTCATCTGTGAGTGCAAAGGGTGCTCAGATGAAGGCAGGAGGTCTCTGTGCTCTGCTGTTTTCTGCCTGGAGCACTGCCTGTCAGTCAGTGGGATAGACCACCATTCCCTAACCCAAAGCTCCCGAGAGGGCTCTGTCAGACAGCAAAACAGGAGCTGGAAATGAAATGTAGAATTCATGTTCCTCCCACTTTGTGTGAAAATGGAGCAATCAACTTTTGAATGCACACCTTCAGGAAATAAACTAGGAACTTGTTCAACCATTCCTTGGTTAAAACTGCCATTGATTTACTGAGGTCTTTTCTCAGAAGGAGCTCAGGGCTGCCCCTGTGCTGTTCAATTTTCCTCCTTCAAAGCCATTTTGAAGATTTTTCCTCAAAGAGAGAAAGTCACAGATGTTTTGTCATTCCTTACCTGAGACTCCTTTAGACCCAGGTTAATGGCCAGTTTCTTCCTGTCTGTTTTACTGATGTACTTCTGCTTCTGGAACATTTTCTCCAAAGCTTTCCTCTGGTCTTCGGAAAAGACAGCTCTTCTTAATATACCTCTCCGGGTTTTGGAGTTAGACTCCTGAGTTAGAAGAGGCAACACGCTTTCCTCTCCTAGTGGAAATGGATGAGAGTTTCACATAATATCGAACACATATCAGAGAGACTTAATTGCTGTTCATTATAATGCCAGCAGACTACTGTCCTATTTTTGATTTGTTGGTGTTATAAGTGTGTTGTAATGCTTCAGTCATGTTCATGAAGGACTAAATCCTCACTTGGATCTAGAGGTGTTGTCAGTGGTCAAGAGTCTCCCCTTGACATGGTAAGAAGTAAATCAGATGAGTTCATAGAGGAACATTAACACAGGACCCATGCTACTGTAAAATTCAAATATAGTCAGGGAGAAACTTCTCCACTTTCATTTGCCCATCATCATCACTGAGTAAACTGCAGTAAGTTTTCCTAGGAGTTTATTTTCTCCTTGTGTGAAATGGAGAACCAGATAAAAGTGGTCTGTAATACCAATTCAGAGAAACTAAATAGGCTTTCTTTAGTTTTGTTTACTAACGAAAGGCTTTCAGAGTGAACTATTTCTCAGAAAATCCCTGGCCATTCACTTGCTTATTCTGGAAACCACAGCAATTTCTTTATTACAGGATTTGGGGAGTATTTGAACTTATTCCTTTCAGTCTGGTTTCTAATCCTTTGACATCTCACCGCAAGTCCTGGGAGGGCAGTTTTCAATCAATCCAATCACATCCCTCGATCCATGCCTAGAGAGAACCCCACCCTGGAAAACAGCCTTAAAGTTGGAGGACAGACCTGCAGTGGAGAAGCAGAAGTGCTAGCACTCTCCCTTCACTGGCCTCACAAAGAGTAAAGAAAACCCAAATCCAGATAAATCTCTTGCCTTCCTCACACCTAATAAAGCTTTCCCATGCTCCCTCTCCCCTAGAAGGACGTGGTGTACAGGGAACAGTCCCTGGCGAGGCTTGGTATGCCTCCAGCACTCCCGGCTTCCCCAAATGCTCACCCAGGGAGCAGTACCAGGGGCTAGTTGAACAGGGCCTGTCACCAAGCGTTGGATGTGACAACTGCATGAAGCTGTTGCGAGTAGGCCAGAAAAGAGCTGCCCTTTCACTCAGAAACCTGTGCCATGGCTATATAGCCACTGATACCTATGATCTTTCTGTAGGAGGGCAGCCACAAAGGTGGCTTTAGTTTGTACCTCACACAACTCAGACTGCAAAGGCCCATGCTGTCCTCCTGCCACCCACCTTCCCACGTAAATGGACCAAGATTTCCACCCCGGTTTATACTGACAGCAGCTGCAAAGGTGTGCTGCTGTTCCATTTCTATCAAGGATATGATCATTTTCATATCAAAGCCAATAGCAAATTCCCCATGTAAAGCAGATTCTCTGAAAGATTACACATTTTTTCACGGAAAAGTCTATCTATTGTAGTCAGCTGTAATGGTGAGGGGGGATTACATACATTTGCTCAATTTGTAGTGCTCTTGAAAATACTAATTAAATCCAGATGCAGCTTTCACAAACTGCTCCTTGGGGCTACACCACGTTTCAATTTCTGTGTATTATACATATGTACACAAGGGTATGTGTATCTTTAAACACCCACAGAGAAACAAACACGCACACACTGAGGATACTGTAGAACTATGTATGTATAGTGCTGAGAAACTAAAGTGTACACATGTATGTCTTGCAAAGTTGACTAGATACTTTTGTGGTGTATGTGTGACTCGTTTGATATTACATACATTACCGCTGTATCCTGCCTCCAGCTGTGACCAGCAGAGGAAGGATATTAGAAGCTCAGCAAGTATGCAATGATCCTTCCCTAAAATACACTGCCACTGTCAAACGTAACAGATTTAGAGACCAGACCATTGCAGTCTGCCAGACATGCCCTTCTTGAATTTTTCTACACCTTAAGAACCCATCTTTACATGTGTCCTCCATAACAGCCTGTGGCAATAAGTAATTATTAGGATTTAAAATGTTACAACATAAAGAAGTCGAAATTTATACAGATGTATTTCAATTTTCAAAATCATATTTGAGATCATACACAAAAATCATAACCTACTGGTTACTGTCCTGATATTTATGACACAGTGAGACACAGTCAGACTCCATCCAAACAAAAATAAACTATCTGCAGAACAAAAGTCAAAATGCCACGATGGAGGTTTCTGCAAAGGGCAAGCTGGGTTCATATTTCTCTGAGGAGAGAACAGCTCCCTCACGACTCTCACCCTGAGCTCCCATCCTGCCCATGAAGCCCGGGGAAAACACTGGCCCTTCTTCCTCAAGCATGTATTCTGTCTTTCTTGCTCGAATTTGGTGAATTTAGATACCTTTTTCCAGGTAGCCTCCGAGTAATTTCTGATGCATCATCAGCCATCCTCGAGTTTACCAGAAGGTACAGTCTGACAGCAGAAGAGCTGGTACTTTCTCTTATCCCCACCGTGGGACGAGAGACACCAGCGAGGGAAGAGGCGTTACAGGGCTGGTCCTTGCCTCCTGGCCTCCATGCCACAATGGAGTTGTCAGCCAAGGATAGAGAGCATCAGATTATGTGACACCTTAAAATTTGTCTTGCCTGGCTGGTTGTTAACAGTCAATCAGCAAAACCTCCTGCTGGAGCCCCAAGGCGCCAATTAATTCCCGTACAGGCAGTACGCAGGGTACAGCTTAACACCTGTATTAGACTGATTTAATAGTGAAGAATCTACACACTCTAAGGCACAGTATGTGACTGATTTTAAAAGCCTAACTAAACAAAATTTAATGATGAGCAGAATGCTCACTACAAACAGCCACTGGGTCAAAAAAGTTGAAACTCGTGTTTGGGATAACAAATACTCACGCCCAACTGACTGGACTAGAGAATTTTTTTAGGAATACCCCATACTCCAAAGTGCATTCCAACTGTTCACACAAAATCTAAATTTCGGTTTGTGGATTAAAGGATTTTTCAGTACGTTGGGACAGGCAGCCGTTCATACGTTACAACAATTCTACCAAAATGAAATCAGTCAGTTTGCAGCCTGTCGCTCTGAATGTGCATGAAAAGGTTCAGTGCCCTGCTGACGTAAATGTGAATCTGTTACCAACTACTTCCTACGGTGCTGATTTGATTTTTGTTTTGCTTTGGGTTTTTTTTTTAAGTCTTTCCTTTGTATCCTAATATATAGTGATAAATGTCCTCTTAATCTGTGGAACAATCTTCATTTGCCTTCATGGCAGAGACCACCTTGAAGGAGCAAGTAAAAGCTTTAGTCATGGTTTCCATTTTTTCATTTGAATTCAATACATTCTAGTTAAATGGACAATTAATAGGTCACTTCCAAAATAGTAGTGTATCAGTCCTGGTTAATAAACAATCCCCACAGTTGATAATGGGCCTATGTATTCAGCAAGTCCCTGTATACACTCAGCTCATCCACTAAATCCCTTTTCAGGTAGACAGGGTTATATGGGAAGATGAGCTAGAATGAGTCTATAAAAGTCAGTTTCATTCACTGCTTTATTTTTCAGTCAAGTGCTTTAAATGGTGTCCAGAAAATCTCTTGGAATGTGAGACAGGAGAAAAGACTGGCACACAGAGTATTGCTTTATGGCCATACAAAAGGGCAACTGACCCTTGCCCAGGCCTTTTCAGTGTGAAATGGTTCCTAAAGTTCATCTGCACAGTGAAAAATTGTGGTGAGGTCGCGTGTGGATGAGTAAAGTGAAAGCAGTGATTGGTCATGGTGCTGTCAGCCATTGTGGGAGAGCCGGGGCCATGTAAAACGCTCTGTGGGAAAGTGTCAGCCCCCTAAAGAGGTGCTCAGAAACTTGCAGCTCATTAAACTGCCAGCATTTGCTGCCTCACTTGTCAAGAATCATTCAACTTAGCAACTGCCCTTCTGAAACATTCATAAAACGCATGCACGTAGTCAGGAAGGGATTGAATGCAACTGTGATAAAAAAGTATATGCTGGAGCACGCATAAGCTCCAATTTTCATTTGGATTTGCAAGGCAATTTGTGCTTCTTCTCCATTTTGAAAGACTAGGAAATGCCTCTTCTGTTTGTATTCCTGACCCATAAACACATAAAATCATGAATATCCATTCTTACACTATGGTACGCAACCTTCACAATAAAGGTTAAATTTAGATTTGGATTAAATGGGAGTGCGTGCCAGGTCTTAATCCTGAACGTACAGTGTATACTGGCCAAAACTGTCCTCCACTTACTTCTTCAGTTTTCTACATTATAAGTAAAAAAAGAAAAACAAATTAAACATGTGCATGCATTTGACTGCTATGAAAAGAATGATTGTTTTAATTAAATAATGCTAGGGCTTCCTGAACCATAATTTATCCCTAAGAGACATTAAAATGCAGCATCCATTTTAAGATCTTTCAGTTCTTTTCTTTTCCTATTTGCAAACGTTTATTGAGACAGATTTTTAAAGGAGTTACTGATTTTAAAGAATCTTTTCTGGCAAACTGAAAACAAGGAGCTTTCCTAGGCTAGCTCTGTCTGGGTGTCTCAATGCCATTAGAAACCTCTCACAATTGCTCAGTGTACTTAAGTTTGATAAATCTTTGGAAGCCCTCTGAATAGGATTGCTGTGATTTTACTAAGGAATTAGCTGCTGCCATTGCATCACCAATTAGTTTTCCAGAAGAGATTAAATCCCGCTGCTTTGGTTTACAGAATAACTCAAGCATTACTGATGAAGCATAAAAACTTACTTGGAAAAGCAGTGGGGGACGCAGGGTGCTGACAGGACCCACCGCAGCATGCTGAGTAGAATGGCGGGGCTCGCAGAAAAAAGTGTTTGCAAAGAGCTGCAGAGAAAGCATAGATCTAATTGATTATCCATTGAGCTTACGTGATATTCATAACAACAGTCCTCCGAAAAGTCAGTGTGTAAAGTCCTGCCCCACAAGTTCTTTTTCCTTTTTTGCAAGATGGTGATATTTTTCAGGCAAACAATGATAAGCCAAGTAACTGCTCTTTAATTTAGCAAGGTCATTTTACACATGTAGCTTACATGTAATATGCAAAACTCTCGATACATTTATCATAAGAATGAAACTCTGCAGGTTTGAAATTTACTTCTGTAATTGCTATAATTATGGGGTTTTTTCCTAAATATTTGGATTGAACACATTGTTTAAATAATATATCGTCAAAATAATGAGCACAATGCATCTGAAAAAGTTATATTAAATAACTCTAGTAAGCATGACACCCTGGAAAAACAGAATCTAAAAGTGAATCCTGTCTCTTCTGCTTGTGCTCCAATGCTGTTACTAGTACCCAAACCAATAAGGACTTCGATAAATAGGAAACCTTTATGAACAAATTCTACGAAATGCAATGACATGATCCAGCTGAGCTCTACAGGCACAAACTACAGGGCCTGATTCTGCTATCCTGATGGTAAACTTGTTCTTGCTGGGAAAGTGCTCTAAATTTAAATAAACCACTTGCTGAAGAAGTTTCTGCTTAATAAAATAAAAAATGGTAAAATCATGCCACAGAATTAAGTAATATTTGGCAAAATTTCTACAGAATTTTTGTAACCAATGAATCAAGTCTCTGTTACGTCTAAACAGTGCTTCCAAATCTTAGAAAAGCCTTCATTATCTAATAACTTTTTAATTTTTTTCTATAAAGCTCATGGGCTTTTCCATTAATCTTAATTACCTTTTAATTTCTGCTCATACTAGTCAACTACGAAATTTGGAATATTTTTTCTTTTGAAAATAGATACATCAAGCTTGCTAGAACTATAGGCTTGTAAAAGGTGATCAGTATCAAAACATTTACGTCACCTTCCTGTTTTGGTTTAGGTAGAAAACAAACAGCTCTATATTCTGTACTGTAGTTTGTCCAAATCTCTAGAAACAACTTGACTAATTAAAAAAAACCAGTAACTACATATCTAAATTTAAAAAATTTAGGAAATCAATAATCAGGAAGAAAGATAGTCAAACAGACAAATATATCTAACCCATGTTGTTAATTTTTAAAGGTTTTTCAACTAGAATTAAAAACAAAGAACACTCAAAATTAGGTTCCCGAGTACATTTGAGGGCATCGTAATAAGTTTTCTGACCGTCAAATCTGCTGATCTTCCAAAGCAATAAACTATTGCTGTAGAAGCCCAAGTCTAAACATTTTTAAAATGTTTACCTCTATATGTTTCTGAATTCTTACAAGCTTAGGCGAAAATCCCTTTAACTGTAATTACAAATTGATAAGCCTTTTATTACTACAGCTTTTCATCAACACTTTACTGTTTCTAATGAAACATAAATATACTCCAAGGGGAATTAATTTCTTATTTTGAGGTGTATGCTTGCAAAACATTTACAAAAAGGAATAGTTTACATCAGGCATTAGTATTCTAAAACTTCTCTTTCACACGAGACCATCAAATGTGGAACTGTATCCTAGGGAGCTTAAAAGAGTCAAGAACATGCAGGCAAATTTACTTATCTCTACATATCCAAGGGGCTTCAATGCAGCTGGTGGGGTGTCTAAGTTGGAAAGCATTTGACTGTAACTGAAGGAGCACAGGAGATGGAGAAGGAAAACACCAGCCAGATAACTTCAGCCACCCTCCTGAACACGAGAGCTTGCTCTTGACAATACATTTTATCTGCCGCTATCGTTTTATCTGCCAGTTTCCAAACTCGCAGGTGAAGAGCTTTTCCTCCCTTCCTTGACAGCCATGTTCCTCATGCCATTATCAAGTTTCCCTTACAGTCATCCACTTCTAAAAATATATATACATATACATATACATATACATATACAGAAGGTCCTACCCTACATTTCTCTGTTTCCTTTTCACACATCTCAAATATTTGTTGGCTGCCACAATGCCCTATTCCCTTTAATCGTTGCTCCAGCACCTTATTTGTGCCATACAACTTCCATCAGACATGTTGGCCTGTGTTTGAGATTCCCTGTTATGGTTTCTTAGCTCTCTCCAGTTCCTTGCTCTTTTTTTGATAATGCAGTGTTCATAATGCTATGTGATACAGCCAGAAGATATCTGGATAAATCAGAATTGAATAAGTTACTGCTTCAGATGGATAGCATGCTCCTGTAAATAAAGATAGAGGAATAGGAAAGGATAGGCTTTCGCCATTCACTAAACCTCTGAAGAAGCAAGCTGCAAGCATAAAGGTCAGGAGATGGATCAGGGTCAAAACATGACACATTCTGCTTAAGGAAACCCCAAACAAGTCACATATTTCCATGGATGTTGCTGGTAATGATTTAATGCACTAGCACAGCACCATGACGCACATGTGCCCTAATTCTGCTCAAGCTGACAGAAATCACGCTTCTTTCTTGGGTATTTTATTTAATTCCCTCAACCAACTGCTGCTGTCTTTTCTGCCTGCATGGCACATATCCCTCAAAGGCAGAACATTTGCCTAAGAAATAAGATACAGGTGATTCCTTCAAATAACTCTGAACCAAGTGGTTTCTGAGACCGTTTCTCAAGATTGAGTTATTCTAGACCCTGTGGAATAAACAATGGCATTATGTCTCCCTAAGCCTACAGCTAATGTGTATGTCTATTTTACAAACTTCTTTAACACGATCCAGCTACACTGATGCACAAGTGAATTGTACATTAGGTATAACAAACTACATCCTCAGGTCATGTCTGCTGAAGCTGTTGTACTCAAACCAATGTGTGGCAGTTATGCAGAGTTACATCAGTAAAAAATATGGCATAATACAGGGATACTCGACTTTACCTTAGGAGTCCTATGCAGAGAAAAATGTTAATTCTTCAAGCTAACACATGCAAGTGTGTTTTGTATCTTTGATAGAAAGAGCAGAGAATACTCATTGCACTAAATGGCTTCCATCGTCTGCATGAAACTGCATTAATAGAATGAAAATTACTCAGAGAAAAATTATGTATCTTACATGTGTTTCAGAATTATATTCAGAATTATACTGGGATTGTACATGTAGGAATGACACAATACCTATCAGTGCTGATGACAACACACAGAAAGCATTGCCTATGCTTTTATTTTCTGGGAACTTTTATCATGGCCACTCTACCAATATCTGTTGGTCAAGCGATCTGAAGCAAACATTGCTTGCTGTTCACATAAGGCTGAAAATTGCCGAAATGTCAGAATATTAGTTCTATATTGCTTGGCCAAAATGAAGTACACTGTAACCAAAATGCAGCTGTTGCTTCCAGCCATGTGGAATATACATTAACCATGGGCCAAATCCTAGTAATCCATATTCGAGATACCTAATTCTTTTACTGCTTAGCATTCCCATTTCATAAAAACACAGACTGTGTGGAACTAAGCATTTTGCAAGAGTGAGACTTCAGAGGTTTAGCTTCACAGATGCATGAAAATGAAGTATCAGAGTAGCATATAAGTGCCTTTTGACACTCCAAAAAACATACTATATGTGTTAAAAGAAAATTTATTGGGTCATAAATACAATAGGATGAAATATCTAAAATGAAATCAATAATTTATTTCTATTTTTCAAAACAGATTCTTTTGACACTGTTGCTGCATACAAAATTTTAGTAATAATGTTCATTTACATTCAGCTTTGTGAATTCAAAGCATTTTACAAACAGACAATAAAATGATACTAAACATGCAAATGGACCTCAAGCTCATCCAGTGCTAAAACTCAGAGACTAGTTCAGATACTGATATTTTAAAATATACTGCCAGCTCTGAAGCTGTTTTAAATTCAAAAGCCCTCCCATACTAAAAAGCCATGCCAACAGTGGGACTAGAAGCTTTCCCTGTAACTATCCACTATTTTGAGAGTAAGGTTCCTAAGCACAATTCAGTTCACATGGGTATGTAATTTTTAAATGGTCTATTATTCCAGACACTGTTTGCTTTTCCTAATCCTAGTGTTACAAAATTACTTGGGAAGTAGTGTAGGCCATTAGCCAGCAGGAAAGGGGAAACGGGCAAAGGTAAAATGGCTACTGAGGAAAAGTGAACCGACGCTCAACTTCTGCTATTACCCTTACAGGGCTCCTTCACTGCACATGCTGTTAGTTTGTTGGGTTTTTTATCAGCTAACTGATAAAAACGTGGTATAATCCTGTGAAGAGAGCTGCAACACCTCCAAAGAGTGTTCAGAAAGCTGCACAGAGCCAGCTAACAAGAAACAGTAAGCACAGGAACAGCCAGACTCCAAGTTGCATGAACATAGCCCTTAAATTCTCCAAGTATTGCTAAGCCCACATGAACTGCTTTCCACAGTGATGCCCAGGCTCCAACACTGCCAGGCAAATTAAAAATATTACCATTAAAACGATCCCATTTCAGCTGAGAAACTTGGATGGTTTCTGCCCATGGAATGGGCACAAGTAAACTGCAGTTTGCTGCCTACGTCCATTCTTGGCAGTGATTAAAGCAGGCTTTTGCAAAGCTGCAGGACAGTTTCATGCGATGAAGAGCTCTCTGCAAACAGCCCAGCAGCAGCTCTGCCAGGCTAGTGGTCCAGCTGAGCCACATGCCACCATTTCTGCTCTTGGACCACAAGCCCTGGGCCTCACAATGAACCATGGCTCTGTCCCCAGCAGCTACCGTGTTTAGAGTGCAATGCTCCAGCAGCAGCTGTGCAGCCCCAAAGCACAAAGGGGAGCCCCCGGCCATGAGAAGGGAGCAACAGTCACTGCCATATCCCACCAACGGCAATCACCACCACATGGACCTGGCAAAAGTTACCGCAAGAGCCTGTGGTATAGATTCCTCAGAGCTGGCATTCCAGCACTCCCAAAGTCACTGTCTATTCGCTTCCTGTTCAT